CCCCCCCCCCCCCCCAAAAAAAAAGAAAATTCCCATAGCGTGCTAAAGGCTTGTACCACAGTTCCTCTTTACAGTATGTGTGTGACTAAAATCAATAAACATTCCCCCTCCCTCTCCATGTCTGCTCCTTAGGCCAGGTTTTCGTGCCTCTGTGCCCTCCTGTCCTCGTTCACCCTGCCCTCACTCCTGACCCACACAGGAAACCGACACCCCCTCCCGACAGGAAGCTGTGCTGTTCCAGTGTGCTCAGAACGCCAGAGTGATATCAATTGGGGAAGCAATGTTTACATTTTGAGTTTTTATTTTAATCTCTAGCTCTCAGGCTGGTGGCCAGGGAGGTAATGCCCAAATTACACAGGGCCAACGTGCTGAGTGGATTGGGCAGGGTTGATGCTTTCACACGCAATGCTAAGCTCCCAAACAGCTTCCGCCCACAATGACAGGAAGAAGGGGGTTGATGCTTACACAAGATCACAGATTCTAGGAATGGTTTCTGAACGTCGGCCACTGATCTGTGGGAGTGGGATCAGAGTTTAGCAGCTGACTGCTGATGATACCCGATGAAGCATGAGCAGAAACGTAAACGCAGAATTAGCAGTTTCAAATTGAGATTAGCTTATATTTAAACATTGCAAACCTATAGTTGTTTGGTCTTAATAGAAAAAAGTCATCTCCCTAGACATCACAAGCTCTCACCGTGTGCAACGAGACTCTTGGCAAACCCACGATTGGGTTATACTAAAGACTTTAAAATGGGACCCAATCCCCACTTGACACTCAGCATTAGGGATTCAACTGGGGGGTTAACCCACCAAATAGCTCCGTGGTTCGGCTGTGTCTGCAGACCACCGCTCCCCCAGGGGATGGGTCAAATGTGGAGAACAAATTTCACACACCAGTGTGACAACTAATGGGACTTAAACGTTTTAACTTAACTTAATGTTTCGTTGGACCGCCTTTAGCTTTGATCACAACACACATTCACAGTGGCGTTGTTTCGATAAGCTTCGGCAACGTCACCCGATTTATCTCCATCCAGTGTTGCATTAATGTTTCACCAAGATCTTGCACTGATGATGGTGAGTCTGACCGCTACACAAAGCCTTCTCCAGCACATCCCACAGATGGGGTTAAGGTCTGGACTCTGTGGTGGCCGATCCATGTGTGAAAATGACGTCTCATGCTCCCTGAACCACTCTCTCACTCTCTGAGCCCGATGAATCCTGGCATTGTAATCTTGGAATGTGGCCGTGCCATCAGGGAAGATGGAAGATGGAATAACCTGGTCATTCAGGATATTCAGGTAGTCAGCTGACCTCATTCTTGGAGCACATCCTGTTGCTGAACCTAGACCTGACCACCTGCAGCAAGCCCAGATCACAGCACTGCCCCCACAGGCGTGTACAGTAGGCATGATGGGTGCATCCCTTCATCTGCCTCTCTTCTTACCCTGATGCACCATCACTCTGGAACAGAGTCCATCTGGACTCATCAGACCACATGACCTTCTTCCACTGCTCCAGAGTCCAATCTTTATGCTCCCTTGAAGTTGAAGCCTTTTTTCCAGTTTGCCTCACTGATGAGGTGTTTTCTTACGGCTACACAGCTGTTCAGTCCCAGTCCCTTGAGTTCCCTTCACACTGTACGTGTGGGAATGCTCTTACTTTCACTATTAAAAATAGCCCTGAGTTCTACTGTTGTTTCTCCTCTTTTTGATTTCACCAAAAGTTTAAGTGATCGTCGGTCACGATCACTCAGGATTTTTTTCTGGCCACATTTCTTCCTCAAAGACGATGGGTCCCAACTATCCTTCCAGTTTTAATAATGCGTTGGACAGTTCTTAACCCACTTTTAGTCGTTTCGATGTTTTCTCTGCTTGATGCCAATGATCTGACCCTTCTCACACAGACGAACATCTTTTCCACGACCACCACACACGTCTTTCCACATGGTTGTTTCATTCATTGCACCAGCTGGGTTAAATAACTTGTTGCACCTTAAAGATAATCGCCCTGCAGTAATTATCCAATAGGAGGCTCCTACCCATTTATTTACTTAAATCCAGGTGGAGACTTTGTTTTTGGCCGGGCAATGTAGTGAACAAACACTTGTGATGGTATTACAGTTCTCCCTTTTTAAAAGAACATGGATCACAAAGCAGCCATCTTGTTTATGCAGATAGTTGGAGGGAAGTAAAAATGTTGAATAGCTAATGATTAAATCAAAAACCACGACAGAAAACTAGTACAAACTTCCTTACACTGCAAAGTTCAAAGTGCAACATAAACACTAACACTAGACTCACAATGGCATGATGTTTTGGCTGCAGCCAATGAGCAGGGCTGCATTCCTAACAGGCAGTCATTTGTTTAGACTGCTAGGGAAACTGCTAACATTTGAGTTTACTGTGTAATTAACCAAAATATGCCTCAACTGTGACAAAAATACATTATCACTACATCTACCCACTGACCAAAGCAGAGATAGGTTGTGTTGTGTGATCTGAGGGCACAACGGCTCTGCCTCCCCAGGAATGTAATTGATTTTAGAAAAGCTTTAAAGACAAAGTTCTTTCAAGGAAAACATTAACCAAAACCTCAAATCGCAATAGAAATTATTTATATCCAATACATTAAAAATGACACTAGAATAGGCAGAAATCTGACTGACGACTTATTTAGCAAACTTGGGTCAGACCCAAATGTGGGCGTTCAGACATTTGTTCCAGTAACACCGAAAGTCTCGACCAATGGAAAGTCATCAGATTTCTGAAACTCTATTTTTAACAGATTTTAATTCTATGTAGAAGACAAACGTTTTATTGTTGTTTTGGAGGCCGTTCCTATTACACACCGACAGACTGAGGGACTTTTTTAGTCATTCTTCATCATCGGTCTTCTGGGATTATTGTAATAATGGCTTATTGTGACACGTTTAGCTAAAACATTTCCTTCACTTGAACAATACCTAGTTCAGGTTCTGTAACAAAGGAGGACTGTAACACCATCACAGGTAAATTCCAGACAATTATGTTTGTCTGAGCATGCAGAACTATGGGCACACACTGACAGGCGCCACCGGTCCCTCCGACCACCACCAGCAGACAAGGTGGACTGAGTGTCTTGCCCAAGGACACAATGACAGCGACAGACTGAGCGGGGCAAGAACCTGCAACCTTCCGATAACGGGGCGAGCACTTAACTCCTGTGCCACCTTTGCACAGTTATAAATGAAATAATATTTTAATTACTACAATACAATATTATATTATTACATATGCAAATTTAACCCTTTGATGCATGAATAATGAAATCTTCAACCATGATTTTTTTAAACAATATTTTTCATTCATCTTCAGGTGTGAATGAAACAAATTTCATATTTACATATTTTTGTAACATTTAATTTACACAGTTTATTACATGTCCACCTCAGTGGACAGCGTGCATTCTGAACATGAAATATGTTGGCTTGACTTACTGAAGTCCAAATGGAGGGGCTCAAATGCAATAAAGTCTTCAACAGCTGTGCTTAATAGCAAAAATAAATGAATAACAATTTTGAGTACCTGTCCACTGTAGTGACCATTATGCATCAAAGGGTTAATGAAAAGAAAAGAGTGCAGGAAAAAAAATCTATAATGCTCATAAATATTTATTTTTTGTTGTATTAAGGTCAAGGTCAACTTTATTGATATATATAGCACATTTGCAGTCACGCAGGCCACCCCAAAGTGCTGAACAAAGGTAAAAATAAATAAATAAATAAATAAAAATAAACACAAGAACAAATTGCAGTTAAAATCAAGGTTAAAATTTGTAAAAATTAAATTTATGCTAAGAGTTTAAGATAAAAACGCAAGTTAAAGAAAAGTTACTCAAGTCAACCTGCATTAACTCATTCGCTGCCAGCGTTTCTCACCGTTTACACTGTTTTTTTAAGAGTGACAGAACGTTGCGTGCTAGGATGATGTCGATGCCAAAACAACCAAAACAAAGCGGAGACTCAACTCCTTCATCAGGAAGAATCCGCGCGTGTCGAGCGTTATCCGTTCTTCCATAATCCGTTGTTGAATTGTGATCAGCAGAAGCTTTTCCGGTTCGCGCCTCACTTTTTTTACGGCATCGGCCCAAAACAATCTCCTAACACATGGATGTTCTGCTTCCTGATCACGTGACGTGTGACGTACGCGGATGAAGATCGGCTTTAGAGCTGAGATGTTTGTTCTCACGGTGCGGGGGCTCGTCCGACGCCCACACAGAAAAAAAAAATGAAAATGACGACTTTAGTCGTCAGTGGCAGTGAGCGAGTTAAAAGCCAGATCAAACAAGTATGTTTGTGTGGTTCTTAGATTCACAAGAAGGTTGTTCCACAGCCTCGGACCAGCCAGAGGGAAAGCCCTGTCTCCCCGAGTTTTTAAGCATGTTTCTGGGACAAGTAAAAAAGACCGAGAGCTAGATCTCACGTTTCTAACGGGCGTGTAGTGTATAATGTTATTATACATTTCTTTGTCGATGCACCACTGCTGCAATTTGAATTTCCCAGAGGAATCTTCCTGAGGGATTAATAAAGCTCTAAATGAACTTGATCTAGGATCTGAAATGTCACTTATTCCTTTATAATTGTCTGTTTGTGGAAAAACAAGCAATCAAACATCTGGTGTCTGCTAGCGGTTGAGTTTTTCTCAGAGGGAACTCTGAGGTGATTCCCAGTGAAGTGACTGGTTAGTGCTTTTACTTTCCAGTCACATCCTGCCCTTTTGCCCCTGTAGGCTTCACACAGGAATTCTTTTATTCAACCTCTGACCGAGCAGAAATATGTCAACTGTATTTACATTTATTTGTGTCATCTCTAATTAGCTAATTATTAGAAAGGTATAAACGGAGCATCTTCCTTATTTTACAATAACGACCCATTAGGAACAGTCAAACTATTAGGTTACTATAGTTTCTGATACGTGAACGGCAGAGTACTAGGCATCAGTTCTTCTATTTGCTCACCTCTGTGTGGGATGGAGATGGGGGCGGAGCTAGAAGGAAACCTGCTGTTTGCTGCATGAGTCTGAGTTGTTCTGTTACTCTGGACCTGCTGTCCTCCAGAGACGGAGCTGGGTTCTGCTGGGTTCCCCTCTCCAGAGCCGGCTTTGCTGGGGGCTCTATTATGAATATCTAGGAACTTTAATTCCTTGATATCCATGGCACTGGAAGAAAAAGAAAAACACTGATCTAAATTTATTTTTTTATGTGACAAGTCATGCATTTAATTCACATTGTCATCAAGTATTTTTCAAAATAATTCAAAAATTAACAACTAAATCCGGCACTGAAGCCACTCACACTAAAACGTGTCTTTATTTTTTCAACTAAACATTCTTTCCTTAAAGGTTTTTTTGATTTATGGCCAAAAACTGATGTTTCTCCAAAACGAAGCACGAAGGTCTGGCCCCGTAGCAACTCCTGTCAGGACAAATTTGTGCAACCTCATTCTGATCAGAGGTAAAGTTCGTTGACACCAACAGCTGCCAGAGCTTTCTGGAAGTCCTACATCAAAGTTTCTGGGTTCCTAAAGACTACTGTTATGTAAAACTATGCGTATCAAGGTTGTGGTGTCTGGTGTCAAAACAAACACTAAACATTCTAGTTTATTGGTCAATTTGAATTCAACTGAAATGGTTTTGTTTTATTTTGCACTGGGCCACAACGTTCATGTATGTCATTAACCAGGGGTTAGACTTTACGGAAACTGTTCATCTACAACTCATTATGTTATAATAGTTGGTGTAGCTATAGCAGCCACAGTAGGGCTTACACACACCAGCTCTCCAGTCACACAACTCTTTATTTCAACTCTGCTCGAGCTCATATGTACTCAGCGCCTCATTCGCTGAACACCGCAGGCTTCTGCTCGCAATCTGGGATCTTCTTCTTACTCCTCAAGTTTTTAAGCACACAGGAGCACCGACTACTGATGTGCGTCGGCTGCATAGAAGCGTGCTCCCGCTTTTCCGACTGCTCCATCCTCCTCCACAGATCCATTCGGCCCAGCACAGCGCCATGCATCCCCAAAGGCTCGCCTGTCAACAGCGGGAGGAGGCGTAACACCCACTCCTTGGGCAGCCACTGGCAGCCAGCTCAAAAATGTCCAAAAACGCCTCTGGATCACCTTCAGATGACATCCAGTGAAGGGTAATGGAGGGAGAGGGTCCAGTCGTGGGTCCAGCAGCAGCCGTACAGACTCGGGTGGCGAGGAGTTGGAGGACAGAGGTTTACTGCTTCGCCCGGGCCTGCAGTAGCTCCAACTGACAAAAACAGTGTTTACTCCTGGTGTAACTGGGCAAGATGAGCCATCCGTTGGCCGAGTGCCACCACGGGTTGATGCTGTTGTCCACTGGGCTGCTGCATCCTGCAGCAGGGGGCTGTCGGCGTGTCACTGAACACTGCATCTCTAGCCGTCATCAGAGATCGCCGGTGTTGGTGGCGTCACTTCCTTTTATCCATAAACAGCAGAGGACGGTGTCGCCCTCTACTGCCCGCGCCCTCCTTGCACCGTCCCATGCGTGATCCAATATAGACACTCCATCGTCTCTGTTCATGGTTTTGTGCTCCACGTCTCTTTATTTCTTTCGCTTCCTTGATCCCTCTTTTGTATTTTTGTTGTTCTGTGTTTATGATCCGTGTGCTGTCCCCGGCCATTAGACGGTTTTCCCTTGTGCAGTGGTCTGTTACGGTTGATTTCCTAATTGTACTTTCTGCTCCTTGTGTGTCTTCGACTTGTTTTCTTCTCTTTGATGTTCTATTTTTTGTGTTTGAGTTGGTGACCGGTTTCTTCTATGTATGTTTATATGCTGAGTTTGCATGGTACTTTGTATATGACTCCACATATTTTATCTGTTGTTAAATATCGTCCTCTGCTGTCCGCGAAAGTGACGCCACCAACACCGGCGATCTCTGACTGGGTATCTGCAGGTTTACGGGAGCCAAATTTAAGACCTTTTTAAAGACCACTTTGACCAAATTTAAGCTGTTTTTTAAAATTAAATTGAAGCTATGATTTCCAGCTATTGCCTGGAACGTCGCGAACGTGGGATTAGCCATCCAGTTACCATTAAACTTGCACTTCCCCATGGCGCAAGCTCCCACTAGCTTAACCACCTAATGTGCTCATCTAAAAATAGCCCCCTTTCACTGAATGTATACGGTTCCACTTACGCCAACATCGTACACAAAAAAATGCTGAACAGTTTATTAGATGACAGCAGACTGTGAAGTAACTTCAGTAATAATCAAACCAGTAACATAAAGACTTTGCTCAGATATTTATAAGAGAAAAAAGAAGCCTAGAACAATATTTGTATTTAACTTAGATCCTCTGCAGAACAAGTTTCCTGTTCGAGGGTTGCCGTAGCAATTTAATTTCTTTATACAGCGTAAAATCACGTCAAAAGAAAATAGGCCTCTGAGTATTAATAAAGTAAATAAATCTGCATAACGAGTGGTAATAGGGATGCAACGATACCACTACTTTCCAAACCAATACAATACTGATACTTGGATCTGAGTACTCGCCGATACCAATACTTCTACCACACAAAATAATGCAATGAATTGGAATCCGGGTTTTCTATTCTTCTCTGCTTTCAACAGGAAAAGGCTGTGAGGTAGATAAAAAAGCAGAGGTGGAAAGAGTACTAAAACTTCCTACTTAAAGGGACTTTACGGAGTTTTGAATTTTTATGCTTGCGATTGCCCCCTCTGGCCAAAAGCGTAACGGCAGCTTCAATAGGAGGCTTGTGCACGAGGCGTGCATGCTGTACGTGCACACTCAACGAAAATAACAGCTGAGACGAAGCTCTGTGAAGCTGATGGGGATCAGCTTCACAGAACTCTGAGAGCTGACAGTCCCTTGTGTGTGCGTGCGTGCGTGCGTGTGTGTGTGTGTGTGTGTGTGTGTGTGTGTGTGTGTGTGCGTGCGTGCGTGCGTGGCCCGAAGGACAGAGGACAGGAGAACGCGCAGCTAATTAATTAAATAATTTGGTTCGGTATCTTTCTCTTCAGCACAGCCGACAAAGGTTTATGATGGGTCAGTCCTCCTGCATGCTCAGATCATTCCCTTCCCTTGCTTGAAAATTTGTTCCAAAATGAAAGTTGAACCCACATCTTTTTTATCTGTGAATTCAATGCAGTTTGGCGAGTCTCAAATAAAAATTTGGGCATCTTACTATAAAAAAACATACCATTAATGTAAAAAAGAAACTCTAAAAAAACAGTGTTCTCACCCAGAATCGAACCCGGGTGTCCTGCACGAGAGTCCGACGTCTAACTAGATGAGTTAAACCACCACTGACGTCTTTGGTATCTGTAATATTTAATATCCTTGATTACAGCTAAAACAACGTTCAAAGAACAGTTTGGAGCGAAAATGGCTATTTTGTTGCTAATTTGCAGGAAATATCGAGAAGAAAGTAGCTAAGGGTCCTCAGAAATGTAGCTAGGTTCATCACTACGTGTTAGGAACAGCGACAAAGTCGCTGAGTTGGCACTACCACACTCTCTGCTGCTAAAGCTACAGATAGCAAATTCTACGGGCGATGCCTGAGCGTGAACGCGCATGAAGCAGCCTGCTCGACCCGAGCGTCTCTTTTTCTGTGATTTTACAGAAAAACAGGCAATCACCGTAAAAAGCCTATAAGCCACGCCCACTTTTTAATCATTTTCAAAATATAGCTTAAGGTTCCGATGATAAACATATCTGCCAAGTTCTGTGGAAATCCATGAAGCCGTTTTGCTGAAACAAACTTTTTGACTCTTTAGCGCCCCCTATCGATGAATCCAAACAAAATTTGGTATATAGGGCTTACCGCTCATACTTTGTAATGGTCTAGAGTCTCATTGTTTTATCTTGAAAAATGGTGGAGATATCATCAATTAGGACATGTGCTAGCTAGCGCACTGAATTTGACATGGTGTCATTAGCCCAAATTTCAATAATTCCACAGTTTTCTTCATCACAACGACTTAGCTTAGTCCGTAGATGATATGTACAAAGGCTGAAGTTGATTAGACAAAAAATGACGGATTGGTGTTTAAAACTAAGTTTTGTATCTTTTGCGATCTAGCAAAAAATCTAGTTAGGCAGAAATGGGCGTGGCCAATACAAAAAACATGCAGAATCATCCAAGGATCGTGTACACATAAAGTTTTTGACTGTAGGACCTACGGATTGGGAGATGGTAGGTGAAACGTATTCACCTCCGCAATAGCACCACCTGGGTGACTCTGGGTCCAAATTTTCGAATCTGAGTAGCGGTCAGGATTTTCTATCAGACTGCCATGTCAGATTTTTTCTGGCACTTTCAGGCTCCTGCGCCCATACAGTATTAGCGGAGAAGAAGAATAATGAAAAATCCGTAGAAAAACAATAGGGTTCCCTGCCCGTTGGGCTTGGAACCCTAAATATTAGGTGAACAGAAATGACAAGTTAGAGCGAAGCCACTTTCAGGCAACTGCATTGGTATTGGTTAACTTTTACAGATGCCAATACTGGCATCGTTATGACATATCATCAAAACATTAAAAGATGTTACTCTAATAATGGAGGTGGTAAAGAAAAAGTTAAATTTGTTTACCTTAGACTAATTAACCAAGGTGAGCTGCCTGAACACTTGTTAGGATCACCTGGATGTTTTTTTTTAACTCCCGAAACCGCTTAGAACACCGAACGCTGATAATGTCGGCCGTAGCAGCACCACGTAAATATTAAACAACCAGATGCTTCACACCTCGCTGGATCTGTCACCTTTGGTCTTTAGCCTGGTGCGCTGCACAACCAGTAGGCTTTGATCACTGGACCTCAGGGACCTGCTGGGGGGGGTGCAGCGACTGAGAAGATCACCAATGTATGATGGTTCTTGTCCATGCAAGGCCCTAAAAATCATAACCAAGATCTTGAAACACTGATTGCAACAAGTCACTGACTTGTAGTGTCAGAAACTTCGCCGCAATCCCCATGTTAAAAAAAGCAAAGAGGAAGACTCCCTTTTAACGGGAAGACACCTCCAACAGAACCTGGACCTGCATGAGCAGCTGTCTACCACAACTCACTGGGGTATGAGAAGGCAGCGCACACACACACACACACACACACACGCACACACACACACACGCACGCACGCACACGTGCGGCGCATAACATTACCTCTGGATCTGAAGTCACTGACAGACTTGGGGCTTTTCACAAAAAAAAACTGAAGAACTGGTTGAAAGAACAACACCACTGTGAACATTGAAATTTAATCTGAATATGTAGCTTTTAGATATATTAATGTCATTTTATGTATTTTATTAGTGTAACTTGCAACCGCACTGTATTTATATATCTATTATTTTAATTCCGTTTAGATATAAATGCCTAACCAGGGACAAGGGCTGTAAATTAGCCTCAGGCCAGAAGCCTTATGTATACTGCATCTGTTGCTTATGGTGATAATGTTTTGTGGTACAGTCCCTGTAAAAATAAAGCACAATAAAATACAACAGTTATGTTTATTTATTTGGCAGACGCTTTTATCCAAAGCGACGTACAATTGTTAACCTTTATTAGGGCATGTTATGATCTGTGGGGGAAACTGGAGTACCTGTAGGAAACCCACCCATGCATGGGGAGAACACGCAACTCCACGCAGAAAGGTTGCAGCCGAGTTTCAAACCTGCAACCTTTCTTGCTGCAAGGCAACAGTGCCACCACGCAGCTTATACCTTACCTTAGTTATAACAAGTAGTGTTTCTGCACACACTTCACACTCTTGTCCTCCTGTTTTGCAACAACTACTGTGTGTATCCTCAAGCAAATGCTAAGAATTTTATTTATTTCACAATTAACATATTTCCTTGAGGTATCTTGATATAATTTTGAGACTATTTCACCCAACTACCAACTAAATGTGTGAGATGTAACCCAAACAAATACAGTTTATCCACATTTAGTTTTAAAACTCTCACATTTAAAGCGGCAGCATGTTTTATGTATTTTTCAAGGAATGATTTGCCTTTAATTTCTAAAACGACCAGATTTGGTTGTATGTGCACTTTATGAATGACTGTAACTAAAGTCCCAGTTAAGGTGGGTGTGCCAGAAGACAGCAGTGGTTGCAACCATCTCCTTAATTGTTACCTGAACGTGACCTCAGGAACAGGACACCTGACTCCATTGTGGTAAGGTTGTTTTAGAGAGATAGTTTGACCGGTCCGATCTACAGACGACACCTCTCCCTGGTAAACTCCCAGCGTTGCTCCACAGTTTATAGAGACCACACTGCCCAACCAGTCTGCCGCCATTCTTCTCGCTGCAAGTCAAAAACGGACAGTAGTCATGCCAAGGGCTCTGAGGACCTGGAAGGCACTTCGGCTACCATTAAAGATTCACATTTAATGTTTATTTCTGACAATGTGATATAAGGTGACAGTCTAATGCCGTTTTGTATTTTGGGGATGGAAAAAACGTTAAGTCGATTATATGTTTTCCGGTGGTCAAAAATCAGACAAATTACTGAAAAAATAAGAAAACCGAACTGACACCTCTTCTTTCACGTTACTTTAAGGCTACATAATCGTGATTTACTGAAGTTTAATTGTGTATTAGCAGGTTTTGGTTTGTGTAGAGAGAAATGTAGGCAGGTTTGAGTCAGAGTAGTTACCACGTGGAGCTAACGGAACGTAAACATGTTAATGTGCCATGGCAGTGTCCAAATAAATCAATGAAATGAAGAAATTTCGTTAAATAACTAGCATGAAGCCGCGTCAGCTAGCTTAACGGCTAATATTAGCTTCGTCTTCGTAGTTTGACTTAAGACAAACAGACTGCTGCCTACAAGAGTCTGGGGTGTTTAAATACTCAACCAAATCGTTTCCGCTTCACAATAAACCGATTAGCCTCGTAAAAAAAAAACAGAAATAGGCCACTAAAGCCAACAAAAACCAGAGCCGTTGTGATCGCTCGTGTTGACGCTGACGTCACTTCCGTTTTGTCCCACGCTGGTTTGTTGTGATTTTATGTTTTTCCTCTTGCGCGTGTGAAGTGACGCTGTGAAATCCGTAAAAGTCGTTTTGGGAGTTAATTTCCCTTCCAGTTAATTTAAATTTTTTCATGTTGTCTTCAAACTAAAATGTTTGTCAGACACCGATTTTTTTTTTCAGTTTACCGGTAAACCTGTTGATGCTGGAACCTCATAATCTCTCTTCATGAATATTTATTTTTTTATTTCATTAAAAATAACAAAAGAAAGGAGGACATTTGTCTAAGTGCCGAAAATCTCACTTAAAACAGGATCTTTGCTAAATTGTCATTTACGCACATGAAGAAAAATCTGGAAAAGGTCTAAGAAAAACCTTGAAAGTCATTCAAAAAATCCAAAGGATTTTTCTGTTAATGCCACTGTAAACGTCTAAAATAAAGTCTCAGTCCTGCGCCTGCAAGGGGATTTCAACTAAAGCAAAGTTTGTGAGGATACAGCATTTTATTCTTTATTTATTTAGATAAAATTACAATTTTTTTATAATGCACCTTTACATTTTGTACAATAACTCGTATATCAAGAACATAATTATGCAACTTTCAAATATTCTTCCAAAAACCGTATAACTGCATTAATTTTCAAATAAAAAAGTTCACCTCAAACATAAACACACGCTTGAATTGTAAAAATGACCTGTAAAATATAAAGAGCTGTTGATGCACATGCATGATCACATTCTGGGACAAAACTGCTTCAATAGTGACATCTACAGTATAACAAAAGGAAAATGATTAGCTTATGAGTGTGCATGACATCACACTTTAGATTCTGCTGTAGATCACAGCGTCCTTCATACATTAATGCCCATCCAGTCACACTGGATCTTCTAAAACATCTCTTGTGCAGAAATGCTGCTTTGCAAGCTAAACAAACAAAACAACTGTAGATGCCTTTTACAATTTGCACTGAGCATGTTTTCTACGTTTGCCTCAACGCCGTTAGCTCTAGACGCAGAAGCCACCCAGTGCATTACATTTGTAGAAAAGTACTTCTTTCACCGACTTTTAACATGACTCTACAGCGTCTCAGTCAGTGTAAACGACCTCCAGAGTTTCACATACTGGTTCTAGATAGCTTCACTGCTTGGCCCTCAGCGTGACTCCCAGATGGCAGCGTTTGTGCTTCATCGTGAGGCCGTATTCAGGGGTCAGGTCCAGGGGTTCTCCAGGTAATGTGTAGAAGTGCAGCTTCTGGATGATGATGGCCAAGAACAGAAAAGTTTCATTTCGCGCGATAACCTCGCCGATGCATCGCCGTCTTCCCAAACCAAAAACAAGCACCTTCTCTCCGTCGACCTTATTGACCTCAGTACCGTTGGCGCTAAGGAAACGGTCTGGGTTAAAAGAGGATGGATTGTCCCACAGCTCACTGAAGGAAGAAAATTAAGTAGATTTGAAAACATTTGTAAAGTCCCATTTTTTTTTTGAAGTAATACATACCACCAACCACCTATCGTTGCATTATTAAATTGAGATTATCTTGGGTTAGAGTTAAAAGGGTGGAGTTAAAGTGTACAAAACTGTGTGTATGATCTAACCCTAACCCCGATTTCATCTTATCAAGTGATTTGTGATCCAGTTTTCCAAGAGAAAGAAACAAAATCATAAATACTTACGGGTCGTGGTTTATTTTCCACTGATTGATGAAGACACATGTGTCTTTGGGAATGAAGAAGCCGTTAAGAGACGTGTCTTTGGTTGTGCTATAAAGAAGGATTGACGAGTAATTATGCTTTCTCATTTTGCATAACTGCTGCTTTTAAGGTAAATGTGACAAAACTCACCAGTGTGGGATTGTGAAGGGCAAATAGGAAGAATGACGGAACAGCTCCAGTATGAAGGCCTCCAACAGCGGCAGGTTGTTTCTGTCAGAAAGCTTGGGAGTACGATCCACACCAATTTTTTCCTCTGAAAATGCCAAGAGATAATTGATGAATACAGAGCAAGATAAAGACGGTACCCTTCTTTAGTCAACAGTTAAAGAGCCGGAGTGGATTTTTACTTTAAGGAGGGAACATGAAGGTCATGAAAAAGCTGCTGTACTTACTGATTTCTTCAAAAAGCCTCTGCTCTATCTCCGGATAAGCCACCAAATACATCACAGACCATGACAGACCAGTTGAGATGGTGTCAAAACCTGGAAAAAAACCTTAGTTAGGAAGGAAAACAAAACATGGCGGAATCAATTAAAGACTGAAAGAGAGTCCAACCTACCGGCTCCAAACAGATCGTTGACAATTCCTACAACCTTCTCATCCGACATCTGGATGTTTGAGTTCTCATCCAGCTTCCTGTCCTCACAGTGCTCAATGAGGGAGTCTGTGATGTCTCGGATGTTGTCCTGAAACCACAACAATGGGCCATTTTAATAATTCTAGCGTAAAAGACACAAAACTACATTTGTGAGAAGGTTTGTGGAGTACCTTGTCGAAGGTGCTGTAGTGGTCACTGACGATCTTTTGAACAAAGTTTTGGAAGCGATTGTTGATTTCAATAAACTTGGTCATCTGCTTGTTAGGCAGGTATTGGAGGATAGGGATGAAGTCTGCCGGGTTACCATTTCCTGTTACCCGAACAAAATCTTCAGCGAGGTTCACTAAGCCGACCAGCTCCTGGTCATGGTGGTCGTAGCGTCGGCCGAAGCACATGCCACAGATCACGTTGGCCACAGAGACAACGATGTAGCGGAAAGGGTCGAATCTTCCGTCAGTCGTCATCACAGTGTCGAGCTCCTTGATCAGGTGCTCGGACTCTTTGCAGATGTGCTCCTCCAGCACACAGGAGTACTCTGGAGTCTTGCCCTCCAGGGTGGAGAACGAACGCAGGGCGCTGTAGGCCAGCTTTCTGCGAGCTCGCCAAACTCCAGCCTGATCCGTGCTGAAGGCCAGACTCTTTCCATTGTTGATGAAGCGAAAGCTGTACAGGTCGGGCCTGCCGGAGAAGTCGTCCCCTTGTTTGGTGAGAGCCTGCTTGACAGTCTCATAACCACTCAGAACAACAACAGGACGGGTGCCGATCTGGATCTGGAAAACATCTCCGAATTTCTTGCTCAGTTCAGTGAGACTCAGGTGAGGGTTGCTGCCAAGCTCCAGCAAATTCCCAATGATAGGAAGCGATTTAGGACCGGGGAGCCAACAGAGCCCCTCAGGAATCTCTCTGCGTGCATGCTTCAGGGTCAGGTAGACCAAACACACCGTCGTCAGGGCGATCAGAGCCTCAAATACCGACACGGCTCCGATGAAGGGCAGTATCATTAATGCCATGGTTAGATCTGTGCTCCTGTTTTCTGCTCAACCTGTGAATTAAATAGGAAGGGCCATTAGATCACTGTTGGCAGAGAGAGGAAAAGGTGTTGTGCAACAAACTGAATGTTCTGATAAGTTGGACCTAACTGAGAGCTGCACCATGTGGGCTCTGAACTGCGCATACATGAAATGAAATGCTGTTTATGAATGAGTAATAACTGATTTTCTAATTTCTGGCTAATTGCACGAGCAAATAACTAATTAAAATTCAGAATATTCTTTTAAAATGCTGAATAACTGATGAAAATAATGATTTTCTTACCTTTGTTTGGACGTAAAATAAAAAAGTTTTGATCCAAATGTTTCCTGTTGGGTTCAAAAAAGTAGAACAGGCTGTTTTGAGAAATAGCCGTGTCTTGATTTTAAAACGGAGAGTGGACTCTTATAGAGCGCTGCGCGTTCTGATTGGCTGGAGGTGGCATGACGTCACACCCTCCACCTCCCCGTCTCCTCTCCACCTCTCTGTTATGAATGAAGATTTTTATATTATCTCTAAGGTGCGTGTGTGCGGTATCTCAGCGTTACACCATCTCCATAAAGTCATTATCAGTTTATGAACATCTGAGGCGCGGAACCGTCAGCGCATTCCACGAGGTTCTCATCGTGCTCTGCGTGCACGCGCACGTTTATTTTCATGCAAAAACGCTAGATCTTAATTAAAAGCATTAAATGAATTTTAGATTTTTCCCCCCCCTCCGTCTGCGTGTGCGCACTTTGCATGCTTGTGCGCAAGTATTTGCTGACGCATGCCTTTATTCAACCTGATGTGCGGATTTCTACGGAGTTTCCCTCCAGCGCGTCCGAATGGTAGGATCTGGATGGATTGTTGGAGATTTTTGCACAAGAATGTGAGACGTGCCAACTTAGGGGTAACGTCAGAGTCTTTAACAGTTTGGGTTTCATTGTGAGCGTTCTGTAAAAGCAGCCAGGTGTCGTCGCGTGCCTGCAGCCTCCGCAGCAGTTAAAGATTGACCAATTGCGTGAGAGCGCAGGGATCAAACCTCCGCTTGTGGAGGATGCTGGGGGGGGGGGGGGGGGGGGGGGGGGGCAGATGAGTTAATCACCGATCGTTTCTGTCCTCTTTCAACTTTTTATCATCGACTTCTCTCCCTAGAAAAGGCGCCGTTTTGATAAATTACAGCTTTTATTAAAAGTCCCAATTCTCTTCAGGAGAATGGATCAGTCACGTGACCTTCAGAGACAGGTTAAGGTTGCGGACAAAAGATTCTGTAAAATCACAGCCTGACTTCAAGAACAGCTCTGCTAACGGATTCATGGGTGTAATTGTGAGTTGTAAAATGTTTCTCAAGATGAGGCTTTATTATTTTCATTGTTAAAAAAACTGTTTTTGCATTAAACTGTAAATAAAGTGATTTCTTAAGTTATTTTCAATCTTCTGTGGGAATGAATGACTCCCCTGAAAATGCAGGTTTCTTCGTCCTGTTAACTTACATTTATTTTTATGTTCATGTTTGCCCGGTTTCGTTTAGGCAAATAGAAACACTTAAATATTTTTATTTTAGGCTGAAGGTGATTTTCCTACAAAAAGCAAAAATTAAACCGTAAAATCTTCTGGTTTTATCCACCAAAAAGGACCATTTTATTAGTGAATTGTGTTCATGCCAAGTGTTCAAAAAGTTTGACTTAATATAAAAATGACTGCAGACGTTTAGGATAAAAATCATCAAGTTTCTTCATACAAAAGCAAAAATGCTTTTTTCCTTTTCCAGTAGCCTATGTGGAGGTTTAGGGTAGGCTACCGATTAATTCATTATTTCGGTCAGGCGCACGCCACTCACAAACTAATATTTCATTTTAAGCAAACAAATAAAGCCCCATCAGGCTAAGCTTGTAGTATTTGTGGTTTTATTTTGACCCCGCAGGTCCCTGTGCTGTCCCTCAGGCGCTCTGTTGACGCCAGGACTGTTCCTCCGTGCGCCGCCGCCGCCGCGCCGCGCTGCGTCCCTCCGGGGCTGCAGCAGGTTGGTTGCGTGAGAAGTGGAGCTGGCGTCCGAGGGGAGGGTCTCAGTCTTCTGGACAATCCTAAAATCTGCTTGCTTAAGTCACGCGAAGGCTGCAGCCTTCTGGAAAAGACACAAAGGTTTTAAAGTCGCAGAACAAAGAGAGAAAGACTCCGGTGTTAGCTCTGCCCTCCCTGCCCGCACGAAGGTGCACATATTTGCGCGCTATAGCTTCTGTAAATGCGCAGATCCTGGGGCTTTGGAGTCATGCAATCTGCCACTCAGGCTTCAGTCGCTGCAGTCATGCAACGGCTTGAAGCCGGATTGTGCAGCCACACAGGCGGAGACCCAACAGGGGTCCAAACAAGTCACGGAAGCAGGAACCAGGTGACCTAACAGGTCACATGGTAGATAGACAGACAAATGATAGATAGATAGACAGACAAATGATAGATAGATAGATAGATGGATAGATAGATAGATAGATAGATAGATAGATAGATAGATAGATAGATAGATAGATAGATAGATAGATAGATAGATAGATAGATAGATAGATAGATAGATAGATAGATAGACAGACAAATGATAGATAGATAGATAGATAGATAGATAGATAGATAGATAGATAGATGATAGATAGATAGATAGATAGATAGATAGATAGATAGATAGATAGATAGATAGATAGATGATAGATAGATAGATAGATAGATAGATAGATAGATAGATAGATAGATAGATAGATAGATAGATAGATAGATAGATAGATAGATAGATAGATGATATAGATAGATAGATGATTGATAGATAGATGATAGATAGATAGATAGATAGATAGATGATAGATAGATAGATAGATAGATAGATAGATAGATAGATAGATGATTGATAGATAGATAGATAGATAGATAGATAGATAGATAGATAGATAGATAGATAGATAGATAGATAGATAGATAGATAGATAGATAGATAGATAGATAGATGATAGATAGATAGATAGATAGATAGATAGATAGATAGATAGATAGATAGATGGATGATAGATAGATAGATAGATAGATAAATGTTTTAAACTGATGAAATCAACCAATAAAGTAAAAAAAAACATTTTAAACAAGATTTTGTATCTCTACTCAGTTATAATATTCACTTTTAGTTTTTCCATAAATAGTTTTTCTTTTCTTTCCAGAAACAACAAAATTGTTATTCCTGGAGTTTATCTTAAGACGCCAGATCAAATGTTTTGAAACACAAAGTGGGTTCCTGATTTCTCCAAACTAAGATTTTAATACTTGACATTTTGAGGTGAGTCATAAAATGTAAAATTTTCACTTAAGGTAAAAGGTGCAACATGTAAGAGTAAAGCAAGAATGTAAACTTGCAGTCAGATGTGGGTACCGCAGTCCATTTCCTGTTCTGCGAGATCAGAAGACACATGACAAGCAAAGATGAGTAAGTTAGTAAGTAGATAAATACATTGTCATGTCTTGTGTCAGCGCTCTTGGGTGTTTTACAGTAGGAAGCACACTTATAATGGTAGTATGTCTCTGGCATCTGAGGAAGTGTGTGTTTTTTTTGCTCTCTTGCTCTTTTAGTTCTGAACGACTCAAGTAAAATGCCACGATTCACTCATTATTCACTTCGCACACACGTTTCCCTGTAACATTGAGTTTTTGGTGATAATAGAAAAAGCTCAAATATTTTTACTGCTGACTGTTTCTAATTGACTGTTAGCATTGTTAGCTCAACGTTAGCCTCTAGCCTACTTTATGCAATATTAGAGTAAAACAAAAGGATGCTGTGGTATGCACCTTCAGTTCTTTAGGTTCTGTAGGTTTTTTGCTGGCCGGTGTTGAATTACAAATGCCGGTGCTGCAGTGTTTAATTAGCACAGACTCAACAAACAGGCTCATATGTGATGAACAAAGACTTGGTCCCTCTTTTTTTTTTTTTTTGAAAGGTCAAAAACTGACAACCCCCCAGCTGGCTTACAATGAAATTTGTTTTAAGGGCTTCTTCCATAAGACACACCATAGCAGCATGGCGATGACGGAACATTGCAGCATTTGTGCCGCCAAGCTGAATCTACCTACATCTATTTCTCACCTTCTGCCGCGGGGTGTGCCACAGGGCTCGGTCCTTGGGCCGCTTCTTTTTTCAAAATACCTTTTACCCATGAGCACAATTTTTAGCTTGCATGGTATCAGCTACAACATTTATGCAGATGACTGCCAAATATATGTGGCTTTACATAAGAACAATGTGGACTCTGGTAACATGGCATGTCTAGAAGACGTAAAGGGTTGGCAAGCTGCCAGTTACCTCAGACTAAATGAGTTTATATCTGAGGCCATGGTTTTAACCCTCGACATCCCTCTGGCTCCCAGTCTGATCTCGATCTAGTTTTTAATCTCAAACCGGATGTGCTACAAATCGCGGGGAGAGCAAACATTTATCTATGCTGCCCCCCAGCTTTGGAATGCACTGCCTCTTGGTGTGAGGCACGCTCCCTCTCTGGTGGTTTTTAAATCTCGTTTAAAGACTCACTTCTAAGGATTGGCTTTTAGTTTGTAATTTGTTTAATTGCCTTTGTTTTAATGTTATATGTGTTTTAATTGGTTTATTTTGGTTTGTTGGTTTTAACTTTCTCCATCGGCCAGTGAAGCACTTTGGTCAGCTCTCGTTCTGGATTTTTAATGTGCTCTATGAATAAAATGATGATGATGATGACTATAAATGACTCCCTGATGCTGCCTCCACTTAGGCAAATTGCTGCCTTTGTTTTATTAAAGAGAATAATGCAACATTCCTTCCAACATGATTTGGACATTAGATTGTTTTGTGATTATTTCATTGTAAAATCCTTACATATTGCTCCTTTAAATGAAATGAAGTGTTTATAAAATTTTAGCCAAAGAAAGGCATATGGTTGCTCAGTGGTACCTAAAGATGGATGAAGCTTCTCTGCCTTTTTCTCTTGGTATTTTTAGGAGCCTCCATCTTGTACTTTTGTAACCAGATTTTGAGAACTTGTGTGAGAGAAAGCCACGCCAACTTACCTGAACCCAATGTGGTCACAAAATGTGTCACATATCTAATATAAGCTAATAAATATTTGAAAATGTACATGCTTGAGAATCAACATTATATCAGATGTGTTTAGAATGATTTCATCAGAAATGTGCAACATTTATTAGACAAAAGGGGCGGAGCCTGAATCGTATACCACAACCAACCAATGGGAGACAGTGTGTTGTCTTTTCACTTCACCCTCATGGTTTTCTCTATATATTAAACATGTGAGGATTCAGTAGTGACTAACATATATAAAAAAAATTTTCATTGATCCATTTACAGATTTCTTTACATTCCGTCCTCATTTAATTCAATTCAGTTCAAGTTAATTTAT